TTTTTTTTTTTTTTTTTACAAACTGGAGAGCTCAGAGATTACCAGGCGACTGGACTCAATTCTGCTTTCAGTTACAGCAGTGCAATGCCAGAGAAACTCCCTTATCACAGAAGATTAAGGTTGGAAAAGACCTAAAGAGGTTATCTAGTCCAACCCCAACTAAATCTTCAGTGGAGTTAATCCAGATTTATACTTCTCTAACAGAGCAGAATATAAGTCCACTATATAAATATAGCATTGGTATTATAATCACGGAGCCTGATTCTCATTTACATTAATGCCACTTTACATCATTCTGTGTAAAGGACCTTGAAATGAGAGTAAATTATATTTACTTATGTTTTAAGATTCTTTTGCACTGCTCATGGTGTAAAATAGCCCTAATGTCAGTGGAATCAGAGTCTTGAGATATTTGTTTATACAGGTCCAGAACCCACACAAGCCAGCTAGAGTCTTTTCATTGACCTCAATGGGCACAAGATCAGGGCTTGTGTAGTTGTACTGTTATCCCTTCAGAAAATGTAGTTTATGACCCACACAGCATATTTCTAAGTCTGTGAGAAAGTCCGGAGCAATTTGATTCCTTAGTTTGAGTTGTTTAATGGGGCAAATGCCCACAGATGAACCCACTCAGTTTTCTAGAGCTATAGAGCAGATGAAGTTCACCTTCAAAGCTAAAGAAGCCAGGTTAAGAGAGTATAGGTCTCTTTGCTTAAAAGCATCTACAATGTTAATTAAAACAAAGATGAAGAGTATTTACAGAAGCAAGGACCTCAAAGGCCAGGAGCTAGAATTACCTCGTCACCCCATACTCTGGGGGCGGTTGATATCTGACAACTGCTGCTTCCGGTCTTGCTGGCAGCGGAGCAGGATAGGAGGGTTTGAGAATCTCCTGCATCATCCCCGACTGTTGGTCATTATAAAACAGCCCGTGTTCCTGAGTCTTGCTGGCTGGTGACACCACCTGCTTGGCTTTGTAGGGGTACTCAGGCGGAGGACCTCTGGGATCAGTTCCTTTGCCAGAAGGCTGAGTGGGTGGGGGTCCTCCAGCTTTGAAGCCTTTGTTGCTCCCTGAGGTAGGGGGGTGTTGCTTAGCACCATTTCTCTCCAAGGACAGCTGCATTATCCTCTCACTTAGAGATCGGACATGACCCTGCTTAAGTTCTTTAAGTGCTTCATCTTTATGAGCCTGCCCACTGTTGGCTCGATTCACAGTTGGTCTCCCTTCTGTTCTTGATTTCTGACTGGATACTCCCGCAATGTAAAAACTTGGGCCAACAGCACCTGGCTGCTGGCCCCTGAAAAACTGGGACTGGGCCTTTGCCTCTTCATAAGTTGGTAGCTCTTCATTGTTCTGGTGAGGCTGAGTGGCCCTGGACTGTTTCTCCATCACAGTATTGTCCACCTGATGTTCTTGCCCCTGAGGTTCCTGGCGTGCTGACTGCTGGACCATTTGTGGGTCTTCTTGTGCAAGATTTTCTGTGGAAGAAAGTGTGCTTGTAGTGCTGTTGGATGGTCCTGCACTCCCTGTGGCTTGGTGCTGAATTGCCAGCAGATTCATATTCTCATTTGGATTGCCATACCTCAGCTGCTCCTGGATCAATCGCTGTAACACTGTTCCAGCTGCAACATCCTCTGAACCTCTCATTTCCACCTCTGAGATCCCAATGAAGTTTGGAGGGTGGAAGTTGCAAAGGGGGTCCTCAACTAAACATAAAACAGAAGAAAGTCAGGATTTATGTTTTACAATGATACCTTATTTAAGGCCAGCAATTGCAGAGAAATCATCTAAACCTTTTACACTAAGTGCCATTCTTCCTGTCCTCCTTACTAAACAATGCTGTGTATACCTAGGGAAAACACATTAAATGCTATTGAAAATAATGAGGTTATACAGCATTAATTGAGAGCAGAATCTGGCCATGACTCCACTGTCTTAGTTCAGTGATTTGATTTATTTCTAACAATGCTATCTCTACTTGTCAAATATTAAAAACAGTAATTTTGACATGTCAGTTCTAACAAGATGATAGGATGACAGATGCACCACTACTATGTAAATAAGATGTGCTTATAGTGTAAGTTGGCTATCAGAATCTCAGGTGTCAAAAGCCTTAGAAATACCACAGCTAAGCAGATTAGATAATATATATTCCATAAATGAGATAAATAATAAAAAGATGGTACAATATCCTGAGCCATAGGAGGTCAGGACCTACGGAAAAGTCACCTATCTCCAAGTACTGTATTTGAGCAGGGCTAAATAATGCATTAATTTATATTTGTGAAACTCATCGACATCAGGAAGATTGCACAAGTTGTGAGTAACTGCAAACATTCTTGTCTGAATTCTAACATTTGAACTCTCTCACTTAGTTATCTACTGGAAACAATTTGCAGCTACTGAATTGTAAAAAGTGAACTATATAGCTGGAGTCTCCGCTGCATTTCCTGCAAGTGTAACAAAGCAATCATTTCATCTACACAATTTCACAAAGGCTTGCTTCTCCCTCACTTGCCAAGCACCAGTTCCACAGGGACATAACTCCACCGAGACTAATGAAGTTACTCCTCAAAGACACTGGTGTAAATGAGATTAGGATCAAATCTTCGGGAATGTAATATAATTAGGCAAGGAGGAAGCACCGTTCTGTGATCATTTTTGAGGTCACTCTTAGAAACGTTATTTCTGAAGCTTACTGTTCCCAGTTCTCATAGCAGTTTTTTAGAAGTGCTTTAAAATGTATTTTTAAAGTAATTAAAAAACCCACATTCTCTCAAGGTTTGGTATCTCCCCGAGGTTTCATCTCTAGTTGCTGACAAACTCTGTAACCACTTACCTGCAATTTGGGTGCCGGATAGAGAAGAAAAGGAAAAATAGGCCATGTCTATCCACATTTTTGAGGCAAAGATCTAAGATGCCTGTAGCATTTCCAGGGGAGAGTGGATACCATGCTGTTTCACTATACTCATGGCACTACATGCCACACACTTCGTAAAGTTCCTTCAGAGGATACTGTCTGCCTAGGAAGGGTCGAATCACTGCCAGAAAGTGCTTTGATTACATTATGTCACTTTAGCTGGACTTGCATGAATCTAGCCCCTGAGGCTCACGGCTTTCCACCAGCAATGGAGAGCCCACGCTGGCGCTCCAAGCCCGTCCCCCTGCCAGGATCCTAGAGCACACAAAATCTATTAGCCTGGGCCCCTTAGGCTCTGGGGTGCAAGGGGAATGTGCAGAGTATCTTTCTCCTCATTCAGGGGCCACATTAGTGAAGGTTTGTTTTTTGCTTGCTTGCTTCTCACCTGTGTGTGGCCCCTGACTGATTTTTCTGTGGACCAGTGGCCTCCCCACCCAAAAAATGTTCCTCACTCCTGGTTTAGTTGAAGACAATGGGACTATTCACCTGCTTAAAGTTACACATGTGCTTAAGTACTGTGCTTGATCGGGGCTTAAGTTCAGAGAACACATATGTAAAAATCATAGAATACTAGAACTGGAAAGAACCTTGAGAGATCATAAAGTCCAGTTCCCTGCCCTCATAGCAGGACAAAGCACTGTCTAGATCCAGTGGCATAGTGAGGAGAAGTTGGGTGGGCGCCACACTAGGGGGGCGCCAATTTAGCTGCCTATGAATAGCCCCTGCAGCACAGCTTGGGCGAGACAGTGAAACCCGGCTTCTTTCTATGTTGACAGCCTCTGTGCGACATAGGAGCAACCCCACCATGGCGACCCTGAATTCGGGGGAAGGAGGGGTGGCAGATGGAGTTTAGCCTGACTCCAACTTCCACCCTATCCCGGTCTGGCTGGAAGCTGGGGTGCAGCTGCAGGCTGGGCAGATCCCAGAGCGACCAAACCCCAAGAGCTGCAGGGATAGTTACAGGTGAGGCCCAACCTCTAGAGCTAGGCCTCCCCACTTGCTGAAGGAGAGTAGCTGGAAACAGGGGCCAGTTCCTGGAGTCCATTGCTCCCATGATGATCCGCCACAAGAGCTGCATCACACTCACCACTGGACAGCCCCAGTAAGCTACCCCCGCCTTCCAGCACCCTGCCATGAGCCCTTCACCTCCCACCATCATCCCTGACTCCTGCACCCTCACCCCTGTCCCTGAGCCTACTTCCAAACATCGACCCCCTGCCTGACTCCTTAACTCCCCCTGCACCCCTCCAAACGCCAACCCCCTGTCCCAAACCTGCCTCCTGACACCGGAACCCCCTGCCTGGAGCCCCCCTACATGTCCCATCTTTCTGCTTAAGAACACGAGCAAAGCTGGGGACATTGCTCAGTGCTCTACAGAGACCAGCTCCCAGCCCAGCTATGCTGCAGCAGCTGCTTGCAACACAATGCCACCCGGGACCCACACCGCAGTTTTAACCCTGGTCTCTTTGCAGCCCAGCCTCATCAGCCTCCTTCGGAAGCCCCGGGTCCCATACTTCTCATGAGTCTCCTTCGTGCTGCCAGGCTTGGCACAGACATACTGGATGCACACAGTGCGCTGCCCCCATACGGAGCTCAATCAATTCTCCAGCTTCAGCCGCCCACATGGGTGCGATTCACTGTCACCCCAAACTGCCAGGCCCCACTCGCCTTGCAGGCTGTGAGCTCCTGCTTCCCATGTGGCAAATTCTGCACTTTGGCTGGACGGGGGCAGCACAGAGGGTCCAAGCCAAACCCTATTCACATGTTCCCCTCCCGGCGCAGACTGGAATATGTAAAGTCCCACAGGTAGTAACAAATGACTGGAGGGCACAAATTTTGCCTTTGCTCCTGGGGGGCATAACACCCTCGCTACGCCTCTGCCTAGATCATCCCTGATAATCACTAAAATGTAAACATTTTCACATTTTGCAAAGGGATAGATTCCATCTAAACATGCAAAATAACAAAGGTCCATTTTTTTAAAAATAGGCTGTAAGATAAGTCTACAAAACATGCAGATGAACACACAACTGGATACCCGTGTGTGCATTTACCCAATCTATCCCTGACGTTGCCTCTTTTGCATTCACAGCTGTTATTACTAGTGATATATTACCACAGTCTAGCATCTAGAGGCCATTGCCAAAAATCAGGGCCCCATCGTGCTGACACATTGTGAAAATATTCCTTCTCCTAAGAGTTCTCAATCTAGGTTATGACAATACACAACATGTGGATGAGTTAAACACATAAGAGGTGGCAAATTATATGATCAGAGTAATCATACATAAGCAGGGAATATACACACAACCATACTGGGTCAGACCAAAGGTCCATCTAGCCCAGTATCCTGTCTTTCAATAGTGGCCAATCCCAAGCACCCCAGAGGGAAAGTACAGAACAGACAATCCTCAAGTGAGCCATCCCATCACGCATTCCTCGTGTCTGGCACACAGAGGCTAATGACACCAACCTTATGATAGAGATCTCAATACAGCACTTGCCTAGCCAGTCATCCATTTGCACCCTGAGTTCTTTATTTTGGGGAAGCAATTTAGTTGCCCATTTGTGACAACTTGATCCAAAAGGACTAGTCTGTGCTTTGTTCCATAGGAAACATGCAGCCCTTTTCCCTAAGCAAAAAGCCTCCTTGGTCTAACTGTCTAATAAAGAGCAATTGAGCACAACAATGGAATAGGACTTGTAGCACCAGCTGAAAAATGACACAGGATCAATTCCAGATCTCTCGCTGAACTAAATGGCAAAATTCCTCTTGAATTTAATGGGATTCAAGATTTGGCCCATGATTTGCTTAAGTTTTTACAGATCATTCTGAAGAAACTCTAAACTTTTCTTCAAGGAGTGAATAAGGGTATGTCTACACTACCCCGCTAGTTCGAACTAGCGGGGTAGTGTAGACATACCCTAAGGTACTACAGGACTCCTCGTAGTTTCTTCTGGATAGTTATCCTTTTACTAGCCAGCTCTCCCTCTTCTAAGCACGTTTGTGCTTGTCTGTGAGTGTTTTCCCTTCTGTCTTAGTGTAAAAAAAAATCTAAACAAGGGTCTTCCCTTGCTCTTAAAAATGTAGGTGAATTGACCAAAGGGCTTGTTCAGTGATCAGATAGTATTCCCCTTTGTGCTGTGCTTGGCGAAAAGGAAATCTTTGATGGACTGCTATTAAAATGGTACATTTGCTATCCCTGGAGGATCTTCTTGTTCTCCAAAATCCAGCTGGTTGGGGGGTAAGAGGCCAATCTCAAATTTGAATTTTGAATATCCTGCATATAATCCTACTGCTTGTGTACATGTCTAAATGGCTTGTGTGTCATGACATCGGGATTGGCTTAATGTTATAGGCAGCGTGGAAGGGTTGTTGCTTGCTTACCAGCTTTATTTTTAGCACCACTGACTGTCTCTGCTGTTAACAGGAAAACATTAAGCCTGCGGGCAAATAGCGGATGGTCCTGGTAAAGAAAGCCAATGTCTTCCAGTATCTGGACAGGGCTACTGGGGTTGTAACAAGCAGATAGGGGGCCTATAAGAAAGAAAAATGGGATGTGCCAATGCCAATAAACCATTCAGTGAAAAGTCTTGCTGCCATGATTCATGTTGGCTGTATGTTGGAATAATGTTTTGAGTGTTGTTGAATGATCTGAGTAGCTCTACTGGAATGTCCATACTTCTTTTTTTATTTACATCATTTTGGATTCAGGGCTCATTCCTGCCAGGTCTGAGTGTGTTTTGGTGAGGTGCTGAACATATTCAACTCCCATAGATTTCCCT